TGGAGTGTACGGCACTAACAGGACTAATCAAAGTGACCTCAAGCGTGGTGTAATATTCTTGAAAGTGCGAGTAAGCTAATGATTTAATTGCGGGCATGTGCCGTCGTGCGTGCAAGCCTTCCCATCTATTCACCCCCACTAGCGATCATGCACTAATCACGTTTACAGTTGGCCATAGGTCTTACTAAACACTTCATCTATACCCTATTTTACGGGCGAATTTCGCACTAGATGATTTTGCCAGAGAGGAGTGTTAAAGTTCTATCAGGGCTTATTTTGCAGTTTCCACCTCCATATACTTTGATAACTAGGGTGCGCGATAGACTTACCTCCACGTGGTGCACCCTGGGTAATGCGTACTCATGCGGCAAAAAAATCTATTGACCGGCAGTTGATTTCTGACTTCAAACTTCCATCACCCCGCTGTATGTCAAATTCGACCATTTCAAAAGTACTCATCTTACCTTTCTCAACCTTTGTGTCCCACTTTCTCCTTACATCTGTGAATCACTCTAGTGCTCCCTCTCTCGAATTTTCATCACTGTGATATTCCTCCCCTCTGTGAAGTCCGAAGTGAAGGTCTAATGATAACTAACAAATCGTCTGCCATTTGAAATAAATAAATAATTGATAAGTTTCGAAAAAAAATCACTTAACCTTATTTTGATTCATGCTTTAACAAGTACTGACATTCCGCACTAAAAATCATAAACTACATTATCTTTATCATTTTTTCCTTCTCATGTGTATAAAGGGACTATTCATAGTGCTAGGTCATAAGAAGGAGTAACTAATATCGATTCTATGAAACCAAATAATAAAAAAGATATATCATCAAGCTTAAATGCACAATTCAATTAAGTATTAAGTCACTAATATTATTTTGCTCATATGGAAACACAGCACTTTTTTAATTAATAATCGTTAAAGCTAAGAGACTCTAGTACATACAAATTGCTTTTGTTTCATATTGATAATTATTCTGTTCCGTTCTGTGTCATTCGTTCACCGAGGACTTGTCGAAAACTTTTGTAGATTTCCGTGTCTGGAAGGTTGAGTCGAAGACTTTCACCTCTACTAATTTTCTCCATTTGAGGGGACTTTGATGTCTTGGAAGATGGTTCAATTTTCTCCGGCATGCTCTGTGCTATTGGGCTGATTTCACCGGTTTCTAATTCAGAAACCGGAGCGACTTCAAGGCGTTTGATTGGCGATGGCTTTTTCAGTACATAATCCTCTATCACACTCATTCGTTTTGATCGACTGCTTTCAGCTACCGAATTGAAGCTGGTGTTCAGGGAAAGTTGTCTTCTCACTTTATGGTTTTCAATTGGTTGAGTCTGCGAGTTTTGGCTTCCGATAGTTGACATACCTGAAGAACCATCTCTACGAAGAACTCGTACTACAGATCCGTTTCTAAGGTTATACTCGCCCAGTCTCATATTGTCTTCCAGCAACCAAGATCCATAGCTCAGCTCCTGGTGACTAACTGGAATTTTTGTAGCTTCCTCAATGGACAATTTGATGCTCGATACGAGTTCAGTTCTATTCACAATCCGTTTGATCACTAATCCTCCCGGTACCTTGATATATATCTTGAAGTTAGGGGTAAAGTCCAGAGGCAAGGAGAGGGTTATTTCTGATCTATCAAGAGCACCGTAGTCTTCTATTATACGTCTTCCGTTTTCTAATAGGTGGCCATCAAAAGTTAGCGTTTGTTTATCCTGTGGAATAAGTCGAGTCTCCTCAATGATTTCCCTCAATCGATTTACAGTCATGTCATTCTGCATAGATACATTGAAAAGTTTCTTGTTCTTGTATAGAATAGTGATTTTCATTGTTAAATAAGCGTCTTAAATGTAAAATTACACTAGCTGTTCTCTGAATCGAGAGAGACAAAGTTGCATCTGGCGAGTGGTGTGGTTTGAGCCCTTGTGATTGTTGGTACGTGAATCTGAAAAAAAGAGCCAGTGGATTCAGTGAAGCCTTTTTGAGAATCAGTTGTCATTCCAAATTGACGGAATATATTTGGCACACCTAGCTTGTCGTAATTGAATTGGCTCATTGGTTCATCAAAAGCAATAAAGTTTGTTTCATGCTTGCAAAATATCAATAGAGGTTTTTCAAACTATTTTTTTAATGTGTGACGTAAATTGGAAAATTTGTACCTATTAACTATGGCATGATAAATCAATAAGTAGTATAAAAATGCCTTAATGGAAGGAAACTGATTAAATATTTGTCTGTAAAAATAGATACAAACATGAATGTCCCAACATTTTATGAGAATACACCCTCAAAACACGAAGGAATATAAAAAATGGACAAATAACTAATTGTGTTATTATGGGGTGTGGGATAGAATTACTTCCACGTGGTGCACCCTGGACAACGTATACTCATATCCTCCACGTGGTGCACCCTGGCCAACGTATAATCATACGGTCTTACCTCCACGTGGCGCACCCTGGGCAATGTATACTATACCTACCTCCACGTGGTACACCCTGGGCAACGTATACTCATATACCACCACGGAGTGCACCCTGGGCAACGTATACTCATGCAATAGACTTACCTCTACGTGGTGTACCCTGGGCAACGTATACTCATACGTCCACGTGGTACACCCTGGACAACGTATACTCATATGGCAAAAAAAGTCTATTAACTGGCAGTTGACTTCTCACTTCAAACTATCATCACCCCACTGTATGTCATATTCGGTCACTTCCCCAGTACTCATCTTATCTTTTTTCCTCTACTTTTATATCTGTCACTTTTACATCTCTGAAACACACTTCCGTTCCCCCTCTCCACTTTTTGTGACTTTTATGTTCCTCTCCTCTGTGAGGCCCGAAGACAACTAAAGGGCTAATGATAACTATCAAAACGCCGGCCATTTGATATAACCAAATAAATTGTGCTATTATTATTCTGATGAAGATTTTACGACCAATGAAAATCCCTCTCTTTAAAACCTGCATGGTCATTATTCACTATTAGTAAATGGATACTAACGTGTACATTAGCTGGCTGAGTTCACAATCCTAACACGATTAAGCTAAGTAATCTCATTCTCACTCGAGAAATTGGCGGGTGTGGTTGTGTGTGCAGTGGCTTTCTCAATTAGTCAGCTGTTATGATTCATTCAAGTTATGTTAAATGAGCTCAATTTCTAATCATGTTTGCAGTGAGCATAGGCTCAAAAAACTCTATACTCCCTCTATGTCTGCTTCTTCTATCATCTTGTTCATTTCCTCAAACGAATCGTTCTTGAGTAATTGAATTAATGGCTCAATCGTCAAACCGTGGAAGAGTTCTAACGCTATTCTTCTAAAACTGCCCCAAAGGCACATTACAATCCACAATAAAACATTATAAAAAAACATGAATTATTTATTACCTACGTGTATATTAGCCAATTAGCTACGGACTAGTTTTTTATATCTCCGGACTCCATAGTTGATACAGAGGCTAGCTTGTTCAAACATGTTAAATTGCAAAATGTGCCTTTGGATTACTGCTTAATAAACTTTTGAGCAAATTGCTCTTTGAGTGATCATATTTATAACAAATGGCAGGCATTTTGATAGTTTCATTAGCCCTTTAGGTGACTTCAGGCTTCAAAGTGAAAAAANGGGGGGGGGGGGGGGGGGGGAAAAGAAGAGACACAAAGGCAGAGAAAAGGCTAGATGAGTTTTGTGGAAGTAGTCGAATATGGCATACAGTGGGGGGTGATGGTAGTTAGAAGCCAGAAGTCAACTGCCGGTTAATAGACTTTTTTGCCGTATGAGTATACGTTGCCCAGGGTGCACCACGTGGAGGTAAGTCTATCGCACACCCCCTTTGAGTGATCATTAATTTGCGGTTATTCTAACGTTGAACCTTGAGCCCCCAATATGCCATTCATTAACCAGATTTTCGATAAAGAGATAATTGGCAATGAGTAAACTAAGGTCATCATTACTTTGATCTCGTCTCTTGGCAGGACCACAGCCTGCCATCAGATATTTAGTGATGATTTAACGACTCATTGCTCAGCAGAGTGGGTTAAACGCGCTAGTAAAGAAAAAGTACGTTCCCATGTCTCCATCCACTTTAATGTTAGTACGTTGTTTGATACCTTGTAGTCAAGATAACGTGCTTTTGATGTGTAATGAGTTGGAGCATAGATAAACTTTGTAAATGTGATCAAACATTGATAAATTTCTGGAATGAAATGTCTAATTTCCATTGGCACCATTCTCACGACTTAATATATATGAAATCTCATAACTTTATTTCAACTCTTGTCTTCTCAAAGGTGTAGTAGCTGCTCTTTGTACCTTTCTAGTTTAAAATGGTTCCCATGAAACCAAATCTAAATAGTGAGCAAAGGAAGCGAAACATTTTTCTATGCAAAGAATTTTCAACATCTTTTTTCACAGGTAATTTTACTAGGTTATTCCAAGTACCTGATACAGCCGTCTAAGATGATACCTCCCGGATTAATAGAATTAGCTAGTGAACCATGAAATCAAATGAGAAGGAACCAAATATATACCCCTATCGTTCCGGAAATACAACTAGTGGTGGGCATGTCTGTTATATCAGAGATCGAGGGATCGATGTTCAGTGCATAGAAAGATTAATTTCAGTCGACGTATCGTCAGCACAGTGGATGGCAGAATTCGAGCCTAGTACAAGGGAGGCTCCAAAAGGTAACTCTCGACCCAAAACGGGCTCTGGAAAACATCTTCCTTAATAGGCTTACATAACTTATAATCAACCAGAAAATAAGGCGGCAATTTGTTGTGTAACAAATCAATTTTTCCTGACTATAATATCCTGATGTGACAATTTTCTTGTGCACCCCACCCCCCATTTCGATTACCCTTAGTTACTTTCCCTTTCCTCTGTCAACTCTACTTGAGCATATGATGGGTCCTCAATCAGCCCAATTACCCCGATTCTGCGTTTATCTTGGCTACCTTTCCGACAATAGATGTCACGGTAATAGCAAACACTGGGATATCCTTAAATGGTTGAAAGTTTCATATAATTTACCCATCGCAGCTATAACTGTTGGGCAGACGGAATTGGTGAACTTGAAGACAGAGAGATATCGCCATGTCTCAAATGAATGTAATCCTTTGTCAGGCATTGGCAATTTGGATAACGCAACTGGTGTCAATTCTGTTAGAGAGCCTAGTCAGCATCAAAATTGTATCTCTTCTAGGTGTGCTGCAGTTGTGAAAACTATTTTAACTACACTTGGTTGGTGATTGACGAATAATAAAGATTTTAATTCAAAGTTGATCCAAAATAAGTCTCCAACCCCCCCCCCCCACCTCCCTCTCTAAGGTAATAAATAAATGTGGTACGTTCATGTTAGGCATTGCGTTGGTATGAAGATGTGCATGACACAACCACCCATCTTTTTTGAACTTGTCATTTGAGACGTGTACTATTTACGGAGTTGGAACAGATTGGTGTAAAGCAAGGAAGGTGCATATGATCGCAAGCCTTCATTGCCTAGGACTGGCATTTGGTGTAAGTGGCACGTGATCACTTTCAATACTGATTTCAAATCGATTTATTCCCCGAAATATGGGCAAATCGAAAGGAGTTTAGAGATTAAAGATGCTAATCACAATTGGAACTCCCTGGAATCTTAGTTTTTCCGTCTGCTTCTTCTTATTTCGTGGAATGGTAGGTTGAAAATGCCATTATTGGTGCTATTATATTCCATAATAAAGGAAAGCACCTGAAGGTAGTCAACAGCTTGACCAACAAATAATAAGGGATGGAAGGGATAAATGCGGAGGGTCCTGCTTTATTTGTGTTGATTTGGGTTCGGGGTGGACAATATTTGTCTAATGAGCAGTTAATGTTCACATCTCTAAATTAATAATACATTTTTAATCGAGTTCCTGCCTACAATAACTATTGCCTATTGATGTCTTGTTTGGATGTGGGGGGGGGGGCGGTTTTGAAACCTAAAAATTCACTTTACTCCTCCAAGTTGATAGTATAGTCTTAATATGTCAGAGCTGAGACATGCGGAGTGCACAACACTGCCATGGCTGAACAAAGAAATCCCATACGCACTCAGACAGGCTCAATGGTGCGACGTGCTACTTGTCACGTAGAGAGCAAGTGCGACCTTGTGTGCAGTGACCTCTCAGCCAACCGCCAATCAATAGCCTCTCCATGGTTTAACAAACCCTTCATTGCATTTTAATGGCCGGTCTCTGTGGTAGATACAATGTATCGCGAATAGACATATTCCACAACGAGCCTCTGTTTTCTCTATATCGTTGGGGCAGCTTAACTAATTTCGGGATACATTCCTCTCTATGGGATCTTGCTATGGAGATTACTAAATCGAGGCCTATTGCGCAGCAATCCGTTACAGATACTCATCTAGGATGGAAGCTGCATATTTTTGTCCCAATCATACCATTAATGAAAAATGTTCCCTTAATTAAATAGGTAAAATTAACCTTCAGCCCCTGGGGTATGCGATAGACTTACCTCCACGTGGTGCACCCTGGGCAACGTATACGCATACGGCAAAAAAGTCTATTACCTGGCAGTTGACTTCTCACTTCAAATTGCCATGTCCCCACTGTATGTCATATTCGACTACTTTCACAGTACTCACCTCACCTTTTTTCTACATTCTAACACCTTCGTCTCTTCTGTTCCCCCCCCCCCTTCTCGACTTTTTCACTTTGATGTTCCTTCCCCCTCTGTGAAGCCTAAAGCCAACTAAAGGGATAATGATAACCATCATAACGCCTGTCATTTGATATAAATAAATACCTTCAGCATCTAATGCTCCCTAAATACATTACGCGTATTTATTGGTTCAACTTGAAGTGGTAGTGAAAAAAAATAAATGTTGGTGTTCCTTAGTGCACTGTGAAAATCCAATTAATTCAATAACTTACCTAAATGTACTCTTTAGGCACTGGATAAATAGTTGTGTTATTTAGCCTTGAGAACCTTATAAACGCTGTCGCCTGCTTATCAATTTCAGATCTACTCAGAAATCACACAAGAATAGAACAAAAGCTCTATCCCCCCTCCTCCTCCTCCTCCTCCTCCTACTAAGTTGCGTTCATCTGATTCGTATT